TCAGGGGCTTCCCTGGTGGCGCAGTGGTTGAGAGTCCGCCTGCCGATGCAGGAGACACGGCTTCGTGCCCCGGTCCGGGAAGATCCCACATGCCGCGGAGCGGCTGGGCCCGTGAGCCATGGCCGCTGAGCCTGCGCATCCGGAGCCTGTGCTCCGCAGCGGGAGAGGCCACAACAGTGAGAGGCCCGCGTACCGCAAAAAAGAAAAAAAAAGAAAAAAAAGATGAGTCCGGGAAGAGTTGAATTTTTATCCTGAGCAACTGGAGGAATGGAGTCGCCATTAACAGAACCAGGGAAGGTAGAAGAGGAGCAAGCTTCAGGCAGAAGACTTGCCTTTGAATGCATTCAGTTTCAGATGCTTTTTAAGTATCTCAGAGTGTTTCTCACACTGTAATGTGTCAACTAAGGCACCTAGAAATAAGCATAAAAGTAAGGAAGAGGTTATTATTATGCTCATAACGGTGGTACTGAGCCTTCTCAAAAAGGACCCAGTTCTATATCCTCTATTTAAAGTAGGAAGATTTGTAAGATGCAACATGAGTAATAGGTTGGAGAAAACTTTGCATTAAAAACATTTTTATAGTTCAGTCATATAAAGGGTTAAGCTTTGGTTTTCAGAATTCATCAGTCCCCAACAAATCCAGAAAGATGAGGTATAACTATCATGATGTGGGTAGCTTAGCTATTTTGCAAATCCCTTCAATTTAATTTCCAAAATGTGGTCATGATTAGTCAAATTGGGACTTTCTCATTTTTTATAAAGTAGTATCCACTCCACAGTGGTCAGTAGCATGCAGTTAAGTAAAACACAGAAAACACTGATTCATTACCATTTGAGAGAGCGGTGTAATGCCTTCATTTTATATCTGAAGAAATGATCACATGTGGCTAGGAAGACAAGCTAAGGAGTATTTACTGAGTGTTTGGAAGGAGTGTGCTTCTGTAGCCGTACAGAAGTGGCAAAGACAAGAAATGAGAAAGAAAATAAGAAAGATCTTGCCCCAGGTCACATACAGCTTGGAAGAAAAAAGATTTCTTCACCCCTAGTTCCAAAACAGCGACATGTTTAAATACCACAGATCTTTCTGACTCTCTCTTCCTTCAGTTCTGAGTTAAAGTGAATTCCTTTGCCAAAATCCCAAAGTATTAATCCTATCAGAGCCAAAAGAAGTGTAAAACATGGCAAATCTTTAAGAATAGCTATAGATCAGATTTTAAACTCAAAAAGAAGTTTTTTATAGGGGCTTTTTTTTTAAGTTAAAAACAGATCATCCTTAAGTTAAAAACAGATCATCCTTAAGTTAAAAAATGATTCACTTTGTTGTAAAGCAGAAACTAACACACCATCGTAAACCAATTATACTCCAATAAAGATGTTAAAAAAAATGATACTGTCCCATAAAGTGGGAATATTGGAAGAATTAAGAGTTTGAATAATAAAAATGTATAAAGTAACAGTCTCTTCGGAAGAAAGCATTCCACTAATATCGAGCTGTGTCTGTGTACTAATTCTCTGTTGAAATGCCCAGTGCAACCAGATCCACCCATTGGCCTCAACTGGACTTTACTGAACATCAGTTTAACAGGGATTCATGCAGATATCCAAGTGAGATGGGAACCACCACCAAATGCAGATGTTCAGAAGGGGTGGATAGTCCTGGAATATGAACTGCAATACAAAGAAGTAAATGAGACCCAGTGGAAAATGGTAAGATATCATTACATCTCACATTTAAAAATCCTTTGACTTTTCTTCTTTTTAGTTTAACAACCCCCTCTCATTTATAGACTTCCTTTTGACTTAATACCACATGCCCATGCTATATGCTCTCTAATTTCTTATTTGAGAAAAATGGATATAATCAGTAAAATATCATCTTGGAATTCTTTAAGACAGCAAATGCTTACATGGAGTTTTATACAGAAACCTATGGAAGGAAAGGAAAACTATATTTCCCCAGTCATCATTGGTATCCAGTTGAACTTCAGAACAATATCGTGCACTCTAGCCACTTAGCTGCCTTTGAGGGTGTGGCTAAACATGGGAAGGGTTATGATCAAGGTCAACAGTGAGCCGGGGTTAAATATTCTCCCATGATTTTAGTTGCTACTCTTCACCAGACCCCCATTAAAATAAGTTCTTGAGTGACTCCAGGAGGGAAACAGAGGGGGAGGGAATCGATCCCCTAGAGGTTTCAGAAGGATGTTTTGTTACATACCTCAAGGGAGAATCAAGCTAAGAGGTTTTTATGTAAGCAAGTGGCATGGTACTGGTTGACCTCTGAACCCCACACTTCCTTGCCAAGTGTATGGGAACTGGGCACTTCGATCAAGTCCACATGGCGCACAACAAGAAGAAACCAGGATTATCATGCTGCTCCCAGTGTAACCAATTCTAAATCAGTCTAGCCACAGCCACAGGCCTGGCCAAGCCAAGTGGTTTCTGGCTGGTCACCAGGTCGTGCCCAGCAGCCCGGCACAGCCTCACTCCTAGAATTTTGCGACACCGGGCCCTGTCCATTCAGTGAACTGCTGAGGAAGAAGCCAGTTTTGTCATTAGAGGAAGGTTAAGTTTAGAGCAGCTGTGCACAGTTAAGTATTGGGCTTCAAGGTTCTGTTTGCAGAATCATTTTAATTTAGATATCTGTTCCATAACTTGGTGCAGAAAAGCTTGGCTGGATGCTGAGTCAGACAAGGCTTTCTAAATTCAAGCTTCAGTCAAACATTTGTTCAGCAACCAGGTATTGAAATAACTACCGTGCAAGAGGCACGGTGCTAGGCACCCCAGGGCAGCAGTTCCCAAAGTGTAAACTTTGGACCCCTGAGGGTCCCTGGGACCCTTTCAGGGAGTCCACAAGCTCAAGACTATTTTCATAATAATACTAGAATGTTCTTTCCTTTTTTCACTGTGTCGAGATTTACACAGATGGTCCAAACGCAATGGTGGAAACACTGCTGCTGCCTTAGCACGAATCAAGGCAGTAATTCCAAATCGTACTGACAGTCACTGTATTCTTCACTGCCATGCACTCACAGTTAAGAAGCGGTGAGCAGGGCTGCGGGGAGGTGGTTTCACATAAGAATGTCCTCGATGAAGCTGCATATATTATTAATTTTATTAAATCACGACTTCTGAGTATGTAGCTTTTTAATCTTCTGTGTGACACATGGGAAGTACACATAAAGCACTGCAGCTACATACTGAGGTGTGGTTGGTTATCTTGAGAAAAGGCATTTAGACACCTGAGTTGCCTGCTAGAACTAGCTGCTTTTTGCTTGGAATACCATTTTTACTTTGAAAGAATAACTGATAAACAGCTGGATGGCTTTTCACATTTGAGTTGGCAAATACTTGGCAACATTTCTTGAAAAAGTGAACTTAACACTTAAGAAAAACAGTTGACAGTATTTGTTGCCAAGGAGAAAATTTGAGCTTTCAAGGTTAAATTCGAATTTTGGAAAACTTGCCATCTGCAGCTGTGAGCTTGATAGCTTCCCCAACCTTTGAAGATCTCCTAATGAGATCAACGGTGATATAAGCAAAAGCGAGGTTTTTTTAGAATATTGTATAGTGAAATGTGTGAACATTTAGGAAATCTGCATAACTCAGTGAACAATATTTTCCAAATGACCAGTACGTACTGTAACCAGAACCACACATGGGGAAATGATCCATTCAAAGTACTAGATGGAATGGTGGATTTTAATATAATGAAGTATGAAAGATCCATTGATAGAGTTTCAGATTCCACACTGCAACTAACCTTTAAGAAAATACCACTTACTGAGTTTTTTTGTTGGTGTTAAAGAAGAATATATACAATCATCTGAAAAGAGTATTAAAATATCTCTTCCATTTTCTAACTATATATCTGTAAGACCAAGTTTTATTTATGCACCTCAACCAAAACAACACATCCTAGCAGTTTTAATTCAGAGACAGTTGTAAAAATACAGCCATTAAGCCAGATATTAAAGAGATTAGCAAAAATGTAAAACAATGTCATTTTTCTCACTATAATTTTATTCTTTCAGAAAGTACAATAATTTTTATAAAAACGTTAACGTAAAATCTATTATTTTAATTTTGAAATTAGTATTTTTAAAATTCTCATTTTCAGTTTCTAGTATGGTAAACAGTGAAAGTTATAACCCAAAAAAACCAAAATATTTAGGATTCTCAATCATTTTTAAGAGTGTGGAGGAGACATGAAACAAAAAAAGTTTGACGACCTAGAAAAAGCAAAGATGTAAATCAGAACATTAGCACACAAACTGAGTGCTGATAGTTTGAAAACAGAAAGTCCATGGCCTGTAGTTCTGTCCCAGGCGAGGCACTGATAGGAATCACACACTCTGAGCCAGATGCGTGGGAGCACGGGACTCGGTCGACCATTCAGGGCTGCATCCCAACTTGGCTTTGCGGCACTTTTCATTGCACCCCTGCTAAATCTCATCAGATAAGTCCAAAGGGGTCAATTAACTTTTACTTTACTTACCTTTTATAAATGAAGTTACAAATTCATGATATTTATAAGTTTGGTAATTTGCAAGGTATCTCAGAATTGTCATGAGTATCAAGGGCCCATCTATAGAATTGACCTCTCTTGAAGAACTTACGTTCTACTTGGTTATGAGAACAAGAGGCATAAGCATAAAGAGAAGAGAGGGTTGTAAGTCAAGGGGGAAAAGGCTAATGTTTGTTGCTTGTATCAGGAATTCATGTTACATTTGACAGTATTGAATTTGGTATTACTATGCCCATTTTTAATTTATTAAACACATTTTGAATATAAAAGTAATTCTAATGACCATGTAGTTGCTTCCAACTATTTACCTGCTAAACCAAGTTAAGAATTTGTTGGTTTTTTTTTTTTTTTTAAGACTTAATGGGTGGCGTAGAATTATCCACAATGTGTTGGCCATCTCTTGAGTACCCACTATATACCTGGTATTGTGCTGGGCTTTGGAAATGTAAAGAAAATGAAGGCATCGTTTGCCCCCAGGGAATTTGCAGTATAATATAGAAATTAGAGCAATGAATTAAGAGAAGTAATATGTGTACTACCTGGCAGGATGGAGTAGGGATAATTGCCAGAAGAGGCTTCTTAGAATATCAGCAGTACTTGCACTGAGAATTAGCCAAGAATAGGCTTTCCCTCATAGGAAGGTGGCAGGGAGCAGGGCGGGTATTAGGAGACCTGTGAGCAAATTTGAGTTTGGTGTGGCTGGTGTGGAAGGGTGAGGGAAGATGGAGAGGGGGCTATGGGTCGAATGGCCGAGGGTCCCTTTTTGGTTTTGTTATTAATGAAATCTGTAAAGAAATAGTACTGGTGACAGTGACAGAGAAATGAGGGCTTCGAGAATGGAAACATAGGCTTTTTAAAATAGTTTAAGAAAAATAATAAAATGAATTTAATATTCAGAAGCATTTTAGGTATACAAATATTCCATATATTAAGCATCTATAAAAGATGCAAACTAACCATTCTGTGTACATAGGAGAAAAAAAGAGGTACTTTGTGAGTAGAAACTAACTGAGGTGAAGGGAAATTTGTTTTAGAAGCTGAAGGCCCAGGCTCTGACTTAATAAAACAAATTATGAGAATCTTATTTATGTGATAAAACCCATGCTGTTGAAGAAGAGAATGTTCCTAATTTTCTATAAACAGGAACAAGATGTTCTACCCAAAAACACAAGAAAACCACATATTGTGTACCTGCTTTGAATATGTGACTTGGAGGAAAACACCATCATTAGTTGTGTCTAACCTCTCTGATAGCAACATGTCTTAAAGGTCTAATAGCCTCACCTACCCTTCCCTGGGAAGGTAAAGGAACATCCTGGCCTTCAGGGTTGTGGAATCCTGTTGGTTGTTACCAAAGGCCTCCAGTGACTTTTTTTCACAAATTTTGAATAGCAAACTATTTTGAGGTGGCTTTAAGCCTTCTAGAGCAAGCTGATAGAATTGTTTGAAAGTTTAATTAAGACAACTATGATTTTTCTAGGACACTCTCCAATTCTGTGATCATATGAATGACTACCCAGGATTTCCAAAGAACAGATACAGATATAGGAAATATGTGTGTTTCTTTCTGTTCTGATGTCTTTATATAAGAATGTAATATCCCAAAGGGTAGGCAGTGTATCTGTAATCTTTGTAATTCTGCCATTCACTATAATTCTATTGTGCTTTGATCTTAGTAGAATATCTGACAGCCTAATGCAAAGATATAGCTGCATTTCTTTAAACAAGTCTATCATATCTTTGTGTTTATACCAAAATAAATTTGAAGACTACTCCCCATTTAACAAAATGATTCTTTTTTTTACCATTTTTTAGTTGAAGTATAGTTAATTTACAATGTTGTGTTACTAAGTTATTTGCCTTGATCTTTCTCTAAATAGCAAACTCCACCAGCGCATTTTAAAACATTGCCTACTTTACAGAAATTCATTTTGAATACGAATGTAGAAACACCTCATAGAGCTTATTGCATTGAGTTGTTGACTCTCTAACCAGTAAGTTTTATATTTTGTCTTGAAAGATGGACCCTGTATTGTCAACATCAGTTCCAGTGTACTCATTGAGACTGGATAAAGAGTATGAAGTGCGTGTGAGATCCAGACAACGAAACTCTGAAAAATATGGCGAGTTCAGTGAGGTGCTCTTTGTAACACTTCCTCAGATGAGACCGTTTGCATGTGAAGAAGGTAAACCTAAGAGATTAAGATGGAAGCCAACATGGTTTTTGTCAATATACAGGGATTGTTAGGGTGTTGTCCAGATCAAGATACATTAGCATCAATTGTCAGGATGAGGGACCTTGAGTTCACTGCCTGTAACAGGTACTCTCCATTACAAAAGAGGAAGGAGGATTTCATTTTTGAATTATTCAGGAAAAGTCATGGGGTAGGTGCAAGTTAAAGAGCAGAAGATACACTAAGCTATTGATGGAGGGGGTGGGGTATCTCTGGATAACAGAATTTCAGGTGATTCTTTTCTTCATTTCTTTATTTCCTTGTTTCTGTATTTCTAGTATTTTCTATGAGTTTGTTTTGCACTTATAATCAGAAAAAAATGTTTCTCATATACACACACAGTGAAGAAATTCTGAATCTGGATGGATGGCTGTCTATGTGGCATCTTAGAGAATTCCTAATATTGAGTCAGCATAAGTAGTCAGTGGCAGGTGTTTATTGGTTTTAGAAAGTTTGGGTGTGGCTTTTACCTGGAGGAAGGCTCAATAAATCGTGTGCTAGATACGCTCAAGAGTGACAAGGAATATTTGAAGATCCTATATAAAAGAAATATAAACATATAGTTTAAAGAAATGAGACCTATGAATCCAGAATAAAAGAATTTAAATTTTTGGATACAGAAATAAAGAAGGCTGCTTAACAATGAATAGTAAGTGTATAAAGTATTATCACTCCCAAATGGGAATTGGCTATAACTCATCCCCATTAAAAACAGAAGGTTTACAGTGCCACATGAGGGTCTGACGTTTGTTAACGAAACAGTCACAAGCTACAGAGAAATTAAATTTATATTTCTGCACTTACAGTACAGGTAGAATCCGTGATACTACATAACACAAATGAAAATGTCTATAGCACAATCTTTTCTACACTCTATTCAACAGACTTGTTGTTTCAAATGATACTTGATACAATGAAATTCAGGTTAAAAGCACATTTGCCACATGCCCTTTAACCTTATTGTGATGGCATTTAATTCCTTAACAAAAACATTTTTTAAACAAGCTTTTCTTCTCTGTTAAAAAAGAAAAATATTAAACTCTCGCTTTATATTATGTTCCTGAGTATATCTTTGATATAAAATTATAGGTACCACAACATACAAAAAAACGATATTCTCTCCCCCACTAATTCTTTATAATATGCATAACATCTCCCTTGGGGCTTTTAATAACTGAATAAGAAAATAAAATATTACAGCATAAAAGCCTACTTTCATAAAGCAACGTTAAGGTAAATTCCACCTTAAAAGCAGTCAACCTCTGCCACTGCGGCACTTGTTCTTGAGAAATGAAATAGAAGTTTTACAGACGCCCACAAATTTGCTACAAATTATACTAAAATCTAAAGATGGGAGTCCTAGTACTGATCTTCTTCTGTCAAACAATATTTTTAAGCATATTTTTAAGCAATATTTAAGCAGAAAATGTATGCCCTGCATGTCTAAAAAGTTTCAGTAATGATTCAAAAGTAAAACTTTGATGGATCCTCAATCTGGAGGATAAAAAATATCACCACACCTTTAAAAAAAAAAAAAAAGAACGAAGTGGACATTACTTAGGAAAAGTAGTATATTAACAGGCATCAATTTTTCCTAGAGCTGAAGCATTTTAATGACATACCCTGAATACATAAGATGCTTAAAGCAGTTTGTTTGTATAAACATGGATTGTGCTTAAACTGTATGCTGTTTCTTTACTTTGATTTTCTTTTTTTGGTGCATGAAAGGATCTGAGGAAGTGGATAAAGGTGTTCTTGGAACAGAAAATACTCCTAAGTCATTGCAGTCTATTTCAGTGGTTATCAAATGAAATCACTGACTCTACTAGATGAATACAAACTAGGAAATTTTTTTATGTGGAACAGGAGAGTGAAATGTAAACTTCAACTATTCATAGTTCTGTGAATGAGATGTTGTTCTTATGTTTTTCAGATTTCCGGTTTCCATGGTTCTTATTTATTATCTTTGGAACATTTGGACTAATGGTGACATTATTTTTATGCATATTTTCTAAACAACAAAGGTAAGTGTGATATAACATACTTTGATATGTTTTTGCCAGTTATTTAGCAAACATACATGTTTCCATTTATTGTTTGATGTTTTCTTTTGTGAATCATGAGTGAAATATTTCAACCCAGTGAAACGTTATGTCCAGTTATACATTTACCACTTCATCATAGAGACATCACAGGTCTCAGTTCTATCTGGAAAGTTGCATAGGACATTAAGAGGCTGAGGCTAGTGACTATACACCTTGTGATATGTACCTCCTCAAAGTTCTGAAAAAATTGGCTCATTTATTCCAGGACCATAAGGCAGCAGTGAGGCTTTGGCTGAGTCTGACACAGTCCTAATGTAAGAGGAAATTTAAGTGGTAAACTAAAGCCACCTAGATAATTCAATCTAATAAAACCTTTTTTGACTTCATATGATGATGATTTTAAGTAAATTTGGGTTTTATTGAAATTGCTTGGATAGTTATGATTTGGTATTTCATCTGCTTTTGTCAACACAGATAAAATTCTAAGCTTGAAGAGATTCCATTCTGCATTCTCTTGCAGTCAAAAGGCAGGTTCCAGTTATTATTCTGCCACTGCTGTTTAATCTCATTTGAGTCCCTTAATCTCTCTAGGCCTCCATGTTCTCATGGGTAATTTGAGGGTGTTGGATTATATGACCTTTAAATTTCCCTTAAGCTGTAAAGACTAATTATTCTATTTTCATTCTTGAAAGAAACTCAGTACAGACTACAGGAACTTTTAATACAAAACATAGGAAAAGTTACTGGTACTGGTTGCCAGTTTTCTTACATTTAGAATATTTTTTTTTAAACGTCTTTATCAGAGTATAATTTCTTTACAATGGTGTGTTAGTTTCTGCTGTATAACAAAGTGAATCAGCTATATGCATATGTATAGCTCCATATCTCCTCCCTCTTGCATCTCCCTCCCTCCCACCCTCCCTATATCCCACCCCTCTAGGTCACAAAGCACCGAGCTGATCTCCCTGTGTTATGCGGCTGCTTCCCACTAGCTATCTATTTTACATTTGGTAGTGTATATAAGTCCATGCCACTCTCTTGCTTCGTCCCAGCTTACGCTTACCCCTCCCCGTGTCCTCAAGTCCATTCTCTATGTCTGCGTCTTTATTCCTGTCCTGCCCCTAGGTTCTTCAGAACCTTTTTTTTTTTTTTAGATTCCATATATGTGTGTTAGCATACGGTATTTGTTTTCCTCTTTCTGACTTACTTCACTCTGTAGGACAGTCTCTACGTCCATCCACCTCACTACAAATAACTCAGTTTCATGTCTTTTTATGGCTGAGTAGTATTCCATTGTATATATGTGCCACATCTTCTTTATCCATTCATCCGATGATGGACACTTAGGTTGTTTCCATCTCCTGGCTATTGTAAATAGAGCTGCAATGAACATTGTGGTACCGACTCTTTTTGAATTATGGTTTTCTCAGGGTATATGCCCAGTAGTGGGATTACTGGGTCATATGGTAGTTTAGAATATTCTTTAAGTCCCATGGGTTAATCTTGCCCCTTCTCCTAGAATTAGGGTAGCTAACACTCTGTTTGCCTGGGACTTTCCTGGTTTTAGCACTGAAAGTTCTGTGTCCAGGCAAACCAAGACAGCTGGTTACTCTAGCTAGGACTAAAGACAAGTCTCCAGGTGAAGCCAAGACGCATCTACAAATCAAAATAGGATCTATGTGAATATATTGTAAAAGCTTTTTAATTTGTATTTTGAAGCTGTATAGGATTTGTAAACATCAAAATAGAGTTTCAGTAGAGAGAAGAATTCTCAGAATTCTAGAGTTCCAGAGTGTCAAGCATGCTAAAAGTCTCCAAGTGAATGTAGGAAGGGTTAATCTCCAATTGTATAATGTAAGCTCAGGAGAAAACAAAATTCCCTCTGTAGAATTTTATTTTCTATCTAACTTTCTAGCAACATTACTATCTTAGAAACACGAGTATTATAAAGCAGGATAACACACTTTTCAATTGTGGGGGGGGGGGGAGTTAGTAAATAAGTAAATAATTATTTAGGATTTTAAGTAATTTATATATTTAAGCAATGCCAACAGCAAAGGAGTCAAATTATTCTGTTGATTAATTTGAATTCACTGATCTGTACAGTTAGGCGATGGGCTAATTTATGTGTACCTGCAGTAGATAAACCCACTATGTACATAACGGAATTTACTTTTAACATTAGTTGTCAATTTCGAGTCATCATGAAGACCAAGCAAATTTGTTATGTTGCTTAAAATTATATTAGTTAACAATATTTGAAAGAAAAAATAATCCTCCAAATAGAATTTCAAAGGAAATATATTAACCTTTGTCTAAAAGAGTGTTTTCTATGAATAATGAAGTTCTTAACTATGACGCTTGGTCAAAATCACCAAATTGGGAAAAATTTTGGAAATCTATTTGTACTGCCAAATTTCCTGTTCTAAATTAAGTTTTCCGTGGAAAACAATTAACCTTTCTTTTTTCACGTACCCATAAAAACCCTTATCATTGTCTAAATTTCCATGTTCTAATGAAAGTAGGAAATGGTAGAAAATAGCTGACAGCAAGTGTGGAAAGAACAATTAAAATGAAACTCAAAGAATGAGGTACTATGCCAGTTTACCCCAGAACTTCAGGACTGTAAAGGACTTCAGGTGCTCTTTGCTTGAGGTTTTGTTAGTTCACAAGCCAAGCCACTGCTCCCTTTCTTAGTCCAGATCATTGAGTCAACTCTAGCAAAATTTATAGTGTAATTTGGATTTGAATAAAATGATAGAAAAATCAGAAACGTAGTTTCATGCCAGTTTATCGTTATTCTACACTCTGTGGCTCCCACCATATGACCTACTCCAGCCTTCAAGCTATGACTAATCCAGGAAGAAATAACTGAATCAACATAAAACAGAAGTGACAAACTGGCAACCAGAAAGCCAAATTCAGCCCACAGATCCATGTTTTGTTGTTTTATGTTCTTTTGATTTTGGAGTAAAGGTTTTCCTGCAAAGTGTTTATAAAACAGGGAATTTTCACACAAAAATCCAGATGACCAGATTACCTTTAAAAACAGATCTAGTGAAACTGGGCTGATATTTCTGCATGGCAACATGTGCAACAACCATCCCATTTGCAAAGGGCATATGTTCTCTGTCACCATTCCCATCCCTCCCTATGACTTTGTACCAGGCCCGCTATACTCAATTGCATGACTGGCTTGGGTCCTCCAAGCTGCAGGGTCTGCCCCCCTGGCCTAAAGTCAACCACAACTCCTAGAAAGCTATCAACAAGTACCTAAATGCATCATCCTCTTCAAAAAAAAAAGAGGCACCCATACAAAGTAAAGCGTTAGACATTTAGGAAACTTTGCCTCCTGTAACGGGTTTTGTTGCATTTTTCTATGTGTTTGAACCTGTGAACTATTCATTTAGAGATGCAGAACCAAGTTTAACCCATCAGCGCGACAGGGCCCAGGTTTTGGAGTCAGCTGCTTTGGATTTGAGCGCCAGCTGAGCCAAGTATTAGTGTGTGATTTGAACATGTTCCTTAAATATCTAAATCTTTCCACAGATAATGTCTTCTGCCTCCCTGGTAGTGGTAAGGATTAAATGAAATGTTTAGTGCAAGGGTTGACAAAGTTGTTTTCAAAATGACCAAACAGTAAATTTTTAGGCTTTCTAGGCTATGCAATCTCTGTCACCACTACTCAGCTCTGCCACTGTGGCATGAAAGCAGCCATAGATGATATGCAAACTATTTTACATAGATAATATGTAAAATGACCATGACCATGTTCCAATAAAACTTTATTTACAAAAACAGAGGGCAGACCACATTTGGCCCATAGACCGTAATTTGCCGACCCAGAGTCTAGTGCAAGATACATCTCATAGTGGTTTATCAGAAGCATTCAAAAATGGTAGCAGTTATTAATAACATGAATTTTTTCTATAACTTCTGTTCATCAGTAACAGTTTAACACCATCCCACAGAGTAAACCTAGTGGAGTCTACTCAAACACAACTTACGGAATTTGGCTTATTCCTTGGATTATGTAAAAAGGTGGTAGAAACATACAAAAAACGTTCATTCACACTAAGTAGACTATCAGCTGATACCCAAAACTCAGATTGGAATGGATAATCTCTGAGCTTTATTCCAGAGCCACAATGTTAATTTTTTTCTTTTAATTGAAGTATAATTGCCTTACAATGTTGTTAGTTTCTCGTGTACAGTGAAGTGAATCAGCTATATGTATATCTATATATCCCCTCCCTCTTGGACCTCCCCCCCCCCCATCCCACCCATCTAGGTTATCACAGAGCACCGAGCTGAGCTCCCTGTGCTATACAGCAGGTTCCCACTAGCTATCTATTTTACACATGGTAGTGTATTGATGTCAAACCTAATCTCCCAATTCATCCCACCCTCCCCTTCCCCACCGTGTCCACACGTCCATTCTCCACGTCTGCCTTTCTATTCCTGCCCTTCAGATAGGTTCATCTGTACCATTTTTCTAGATTCCACATATATGCATTAATATACAATATTTGTTTTTCTCTTTCTGACTTACTTCACTCTGTATGACAGACTCTAGGTCCATCCACATCTCTACAAATGACCCAATTTTGTTCACTTTTATGGCTGAGTAATATTGTATATATGTACCACATCTTCTTTATCCATTTGTCTGTCATTGGACATTTAGGTTGTTTCTATGTCCTGGCTATTGTAAATAGTGCTGCAATGAACATTGTGGTACATGAATCTTTTTGAATTATGGTTTCTCAGGGTATATGCCCAGTAGTGGGATTGCTGGGGCATATGGTTGTTCTATTTTTAGTTTTTTAAGGAACCTCCATGCTGTTCTCCATAGTGGCTGTACCAATTTACATTCCCACCAACAGTGCAAGAGGGTTCCCTTTTCTCCACACCCTCTCCAGCATTTATTGTTTGTAGATATGTGATGATGGCCCTTCTGACTGGTGTGAGGTGATACCTCATTGTAGTTTTGATTTGCATTTCTCTAATAATTAGTGATGCTGAGCAGCTTATGATGTGCCTCTTGGCCATCTGTATGTCTTCTTTGCTGAAATGTCTGTTCAGGTCTTCTGCCCATTTTTTGATTGGGTTGTCTTTTTGATATTGAGCTGCATGAGCTGTTTGTATATTTTGGAGATTAATCCTTTGTCCATTGCTTCATTTGCAAATATTTTCTCCCATTCTGTGTGTTGTCTTTTTGTCTTATGGTTTCCTTTGCTGTGCAAAAGCTTTTAAGTTTCATTAGGTCCCATTTGTTTGTTTTTATTTTCATTACTCTAGAAGGTGGGTCATAAAAGATCCTGCTGTGATTTATGTCAAAGAGTGTTCTGCCTGTATTTTCCTCTAAGGGTTTTATAGTGTCAGGTCTTACATTTAGTCTTTAATCCACTTTGAGTTTATTTTTGTGTATGGTGTTAGGGAGTGTTCTTATTTCACGTTTTCTTTTACATGTAGCTGTCCAGTTTTCCCAGGACCATTTATTGAAGAGGCTGTCTTGTGTCCATTGTATATACTTGCCTCCTTTGTCATAGATTAGGTGACCATAGGTGCATGCGTTTATCTCTGGGCTTTCTATCCTGTACCATTGATCTGTATTTCTGTTTTTGTGCCAGTACCATACTGTCTTGATTACTGTAGCTTTGTAGTATAGTCTGAAGTTGGGGAGCCTGATTCCTCCAGCTCTGTTTCTCATTCTCAATATTGCTTTGGCTAGTTGGGGTCTTTTGTGCTTCCACACACATTGTATAATTATTTTTTGTTCTAAATCTGTGAAAAATGCCATTGATAATTTGACAGAGATTGCACTGAGCCTATAGATTGCTTTGGGTAGCATAGTCATTTTCATAGTATTGATTCTTCCAATCCAGGAGCATGGTATATCTCTCCATCTGTTTGTGTCATCTTTGATTTCTTTCATCAGTGGTTTATAGTAGTATCTGAGCTTTATTCCACAGCCACAATGTTGACTTTAAAACAAAAACTCTAGTTACACTATTAATGAAATAAATAAATGACTTACTCAAACTTATTCAAGAAATGGTTTATTGAGCACCTTCTCTGTGCCAGGAATTGTTCTAAGTGCCGGGGATACAATCAGGCACAAGACAAGCAGGATAGATATTGAAATGAATTATGGTCAAAAAGTAACTTAAATATTTGGAACAGAAATTTTAAGTGCATCATAGACTTGTGTACACAAATCCATACTGATTAGAGATAGTTCAAATTTAGTCTGTCCTAACTGAAGTGAACTGTGCAATAACACCCTGGTTAATGAGATTGCCTTGGATAATCTTATAATTCATGTAGATTTGTGGTATGAACTTATACCAACCCACTCTTTTTTAAGGGTACAGATAATGTTGGCTCCACATAGATTGGCTCTTTCTCCTCCCCTTCCCTTCCTCTACAAATTACAGATGAGATGTATATTAAAATTACCTCCCTTATAACTGACATGGAAATAGGCTTCAGATGGAATTAAATTTCTAACTTCCAATACTAAGACTGTCTTATCAATAAAAGACATTATAAAAGAAAAGTTATAAGAAAACTGCATTTTACTTAAATTGGTTTCAGATGAGGGTTTTTTGTTGTTTTTTTATTCTTTTTTTCTTCTATAGTTTTGCCTTGTTATTTACTGCTTAATGCTTTCCTCTTTCTCAGATTATACTTATTCCAAATTTTCTGTTACTTTAATAATACTGTCAACAATACTGTCAACATTTTATTTCTATCTATCTTTTGAAATGAGAACGCATAACTGACATCAAAACAAAATTTTGTTTTCAAGGATTAAGATGTTGATTCTACCCCCAGTTCCAGTTCCAAAGATTAAAGGAATTGATCCAGATCTCCTCAAGGTAATTAATAAATTATCTTAAGTTATACATAACACTAATTAAATGATACCTGAACAATAATGTCTTATGTTGAGACCTTTTGCAAGCTATATGTATTACATTTTATTTTTTGTATTCCTTCTGGAAAAAAAGTTTTTAAATAATACATCTCAAAATTATGAAAATGTCTTACGTATTTAAAAGTTCTTGACTACTGGATCAAGATGGCAGAGTAGTAGAATGTGAAGCTCACTGCCTCACACAAATACATCAAAAACACATCTTCATGTGGAACACATCTTCACGGAATATCTACTGAACGCTGGCAGAAGATGTCAGACCTCTAAAAGGGCAAGAAAATTTCTGTGTAACCAGGTAGGACAAAAGAAAAGAAAGGAATTGGGAAGGGACCTGCACCCCACCCCTTGGGAGAGAGCTGTGAAAGAGGAAAGATGCCTGCACCCTGGGAAGTCCCCTCACCATCATGGAGATCAGCCGGGACAGAGTGGGAGTTTTAGAGCCTTGGAGGAGAATGCAGGAACCGGTTTTGCAGTAGCTAGAATGGAGAGACCGGCAGACAGTCAGTGCCACCGCTCAGCACTCCCCGGCCGGAGACACACATCCATCAGTGCAGGCAGGGACCGGGTGCTGAAGCTCAGGCTTCAGAGATTAGATCCAGGGAGAGGACTCAGGTGGTGGGCTGTGCAGAAAGAGCCTGAAGGGGCTGGAGTTTGGTGCAACTGCACCAGAGGATGTACGCAGAGGAAGCCTGGGCTACCTTAGAGGTTTGGGTGGTGTGCGAGAGGAGAGGCAAGACCTGCCATTGCAGCCTTTCTCCCTGCATGTGCTCTCAGGTTGCAGGACACTGCCTACACAAGCTACAAGAGCGATCACAAGCCACCACCACCCCCAACCCCCATGCTTTAAGAGCTGTCATGAGCTACCACCACCACCCTCGCAGATTCCAGGAGTAGTTGTGAGCCACCTCCCATTGTGTGCTCCAGGGCTGCACATGAGCTGCTACCACCACAGAGAATGCCAGGACCAGGCACCAGCCACTGCATCTGCACACGCCCTATCAAGAGAATAATGGCCAGCACATGCTGAGGAAAGAGGTGACAGGCATCAATACTAAAAACAGCCCTTGCACCAAAATATTAAATCCACACAAACTACACCGGGACACTCCCACATATAAATAGCCCTCCAAGACCACAGTAGATTATTGTTTCTCCTAAACTCACAGAATAAGAGAAATATAAGGTAAAATGAAGAAGGAGAGGAACCACTCCCAGTTAAAAGACCAAGAGAATTCCCCTGAAAGAACAATGAAACAGACCTCTTCAGTCTAATAGACACCGAGTTCAAAAAGGAGATAATGAAAATACTGAAGGAATTAAGAAATGCTATTGACAGAAATGCAGAGTACTATAAAAAGGAACTAGAAACTATAAAAAGGAACCAAAAAAATTTTAAAACATTTGCCAAGATGAAAACTGAACTAAAGGCAATGAATAGCAGAATGAATAATACATAAAAATGAGTAAATGACCTGGAAGATAGAATAATGGAAATCACCCAATCAAGACAGCAGACAGAAAGCCAAATGAAAAAAAAATGAAAGCAATATAAGAGACCTATGGGATAATATAAAGCATGCCAATCTATGCATAATAGAGACCCCAGAATGGGAAGAGAGAGAAAAGGGTATTGAAAATGTATTTGGGAAGCTGAAAACTTCCCAAATGTAAAGAAAGAAACATATCCAGGTACAGGAAGCAGAGGGTCCCAAACAAGGTAAAACCAAACAGACCTACACCAAAATTATAATTAAAATGGCAAAAGTTAAAGAGAGGATTCTAAAGGCAGCAAGAGAAAAGTTAATTACAAGGGAACCCCCATAAGGCTATCAGCTGATTTCTGTACAGAAACTTTGCAGGCCAGAAGGAAGTGGCAAGATACATTCAAAGTCCTGAAGGGGAAAAAACTGCAACCTAGGATACTCTACCCAGCAAGATTATTATTTACAATAGAAGGAGCGAGAAAGAATTTCTTAGACAAGCAAAAACTAAAAGAATACAGCAATACTAAACCTATCCTAAAGGAAATATTGAAAGGTCTTCTGTAAATAGAAAAGAAGAATATATAGGAAAGAGAAAAATCACAATTGGAAAGAAAATCACCTAAATAAGCCAGTACACAGATTTTAAAAAAATCAAAATAAATTTCTGTGAAATTTATGATAACCACAGTGAACAGCAAAAGGATGAACATGAAGATGTAAAAGAGGACATCAAAATCATATAATGTGGGGGAGAAGAGTAAGAAAGTGTAAATTTTTTTTTATCATTTCCTAGAATGTGTTTGAGCCTATATGATTACCAGTCTAAGGCAAGTATCAATAGCTATAGGATGGGGTTTACATACTTGAGAAACAAGGTAACCACAAATCAAAAACATACAATAGACTCACAAAAAACAAAAAGAAGTACAATACAAAAGAAAATCATCAAACCACAAAAGGGAAAAACAAAAAGAAAAAAGGGACAAAGAAGAAATAAAAAATCAACAGGAAAGCAAGGGTTAAAATGGCAATAAATACATATCTATCAATAATTACCTTAATGTCAATGGACTAAATGCTCCAATCAAAAGGCACAGAGAGGAAGATTGGATAAAAAAAACAAGAGCCTACAATATGCTGCCTACAAGAGACCCACTTTAGAGCAAAGGACACAGATTGAAAGTGAGGAGATGGAAAAAGATATTTCATGCAAATGGAAATGACAAGGTGGGGATCACAATACACGTATCAGACAGAATAGACTTTAAAACAAAGGCCATAAAGAAAAATAAAGAAGGACACTTTTACACTCATCAACGTATATGCACCTAATATAGGAGCACCCAAATACATAAAACAAATACTAACAGACATAAAGGGAGAAATTGACAGGAATACAATAATAGTAGGAGACTTTAACACCCCACTCACATCAGTGCACAGATCTTCTAGAAAGAAAATAAGGCAACAGAGATCCTAAATGATACAATAGAACAGATAGACCTAATTGATATTTTTAGGACATTACATCCCAAAAACACAGAATATACATTCTTTTCGAGTGCACATGGAACATTCTCTAGGATTGACCACATACTAGGGTACAAAACAGACCTCAACAAACTTGAGTATAGAAATTATCTCAAGCATCTTTTCTGACCACAGCAGCATGAAACTAGAAATCAACCACAGAAAAAGAAAATGACTACTAAACAGTATGCTACTAAAAAAAGATTACCAAACAATATGCTACTAAAAAACCAATCATTCAACAATGAAATCAAAGAGTAAATTAAAAAATACCTTGAGAAAAATTACCATGAAAACACCACTGTACAAAATCTATGGGATGCAGCAAAAGCAATTCCTAGAGGGAAGTTCATAGTGATACAGGCCTTCCTCAAAAAAACAAGAAAAGTCTCAGATAAACAACCTAATCTACCACTTAAAAGAAGTAGAAAAAGAACAAACAGAACCTAAAATCAGCAGAAGGATGGAAATAATCAAGATCAGAGAGGAAATAAATAAAATAGTGATTAAAAAATAGAAAAAAATCAATAAAACCCAGAGCTGGTTCTTTGAAAGGGTAAACAAGACTGACAAACCTCTGGCCAGGCTCACCAAGAAGAAAAGAGAGAGAACCCAAATAAACAAAATAAGAAATGAAAAAGGAGACATAACAACTGATACCACAGTAATACAGAAACCATAAGGGAATGCTATGACCAATTATATCTCAACAAATTCAACAACCTAGAAGAAAAGGACAAGTTTTTAGAAACATACAGCCCCCCAAAATTGAATCAAGAATAAGTAGATAATTTGAACAGACTGATCATTAGAGGTGAAATAGAATATGTAATTAACTCCCTACAAACAAAAATCCAGGACCAGATGGCTTCAAAGGCAAATTCTACCAAACATACAAAGAAGAACTCACACCAGTCCTTCTCAAACTCTTCCAAAGAACTGAATAGGAGGGAACACTCCCAAAGACATTCTATGAAGCCACCATCACCCTGATACCAAAACCAGACAAAGACACCACCAAAAAAGAAAATTACAGGCCAATATCTTTGATGAATATAGACGCAAAGATTCTCAACAAAATCCAACAACACATAAAAAAAGATCATACACCATGACCAAGAGTCATCCCAAGTTCACAAGCATGGTTCAGCATACACAAATCAATGTGATACATCACATAAACAAAAGAGAAGACAAAAACCACATGATCTCAAAAGATGCAGAAAGAACATTTGACAAAATTCCACATCCATTCATGATAAAAACTCTTACCAAAGTGGGTACACAGGGAACATATCTCAACATAGTAAAAGCTATGACAAACCCACAGCCAATATAATACTCAATGGTGAAAAGCTGAAAGACTTCCCACTAAAATCTGGAACAAGACAAGGATGCCCACTCTTACCTCTTCTATTTAACATAGTATTGGAAGTCCTAGCCATAGCAATCAGACAAGAAAAAGAAATAAAAAGTATCCAAATTGGAAGGGAAGAGGCAAAATTGTCGTTTTATGCAGATGACATACTATATAGAAAACCCTAAAGAATCCACAAAAAAACTACTAGAAATAATAAGCAAATTCAGCAAAGTAGCAGGATACAAGATTAACATATAGAAACCGGTTGCATTTCTTTACACTAACAACAGAATATCAGAAAGGGAATGTAAACAAACAATATTATTTAAAATCTCACCCAAAAATATAAAATATGCTTGAGAATAAACCTGACTGTGGAGGTAAAAGACTTATATGCTGAGAACTATAAAACATTAATAAAGGAAACTGAAGGTGAGTCAAAGAAATGGAAAGATATCCCATGCTCATGGATTGGAAGAATTAACATTGTTAAAATGGTCATACAGCCCAAAGCAAACTACAGATTTAATGCAGTCCCTATCAAATTACCCATGACATTTTTCACAGAACTAGAATAATCCTAAAATTTATATGGAACTATTAAAGACCCAGAATTGCTAAAGCAATCCTGAAGAAAAAGAACAAAGCAGGAGGCATAACCCTCCCAGACTTCAGGCAATACTACAAAGCTACAGGGGCATTGGCACAAAAAACAGACATATAGGTCAATGAAACAGAATAGAGAGCCCAGAAATAAACCCACACACCTATAGTCAATCTTCAACAAAGGAGGAAAGAAGATACAATAGGAAAAAGACAGTCTCTTCAACAAGTGGTGCTGGGAAACTTGGACAGCCATATGGAAATCAATGAAGTTAGAACATACCCTCTCACCATACATAAAAATAAACTCACAGTGGCTTAAAGACTTAAGACATGACACCACAAAACTCCTAGGACAGATCATAGGCAAAACATTCTCTGACATAAATCATACCAATGTTTTCTTAAGTCAGTCTCCCAAAGCAATAGAAATAAAAACAAAAAGAAACAAATGGGACCTAATCAAACTTACCAGCTTTTGCACAGCAACAGAAACCATAAACAAAGAGACAACCTACAGAATGGGAGAAAGTATTTTCAAACAATGAGACCAATAAGGGCTTTATTTCCAAAATATACAAATAAACAACCCAATTGAAAAATGGGCAGAAGACCTAAATAGGCATTTCTCCAAAGAAGAAATACAAATGTCCAATAGGCACATGAAAAGATGCTCAACATTGCTAATTACTAGAGAAATGCAAATCAAAACTACAATGAGGTACCACGTCACACCAGTCAGAATGGCCATCATTAAAAACTCTACAAATAACAGATGATGGAGAGGGTGTGGAGAAAAGGGAACACTCCTACACTGTTGGAATGTAAGTTGGTACAGCCTCTATGGAAAACAATATAGAGGTTCCTCAGAAAACTAAAAATAGAATTACCATATGATCCAGCAATCCCACTCCTAGGCATATATCCAGACAAAACTCTAATCCAAAAAGATACATGCACCCCTATGTTCACAGCAGCACTATTCACAATAGCCAAGATATAGAAACAACCTAAATGCCCATCGAAAGATGAATGGATAAAGAAGATGTGGTACATATATACAATGGAATACTACTCAGCCATAAAAAAGAATGAAATAATGCCACTTGCAGCAACATGGATGCAACTAGAGATTGTCATACTAAGTGAAGTAAGTCAAAGAGAAAGACAAATACCATACGATATCACTTATATGTGGAATCTAAAATATGACACAAATGAACCTATCTACGTATGAAACAAAAACAGACTCACAGGCATAGAGAACAGACTTGTAGTTGCCGAGGGGGAGGGGGTTGGGGGAGGGATGGAATGGGAGGTTGAGGTTAGCAGATACAAGCTATTATATATGGAATGGATAAACAACATCCTGCTGTATAGCATGGAGAACTATGTTTGGTATTCTGTGATGAACCATAATAGAAAAGAATTTTTAAAAAGAAAGAAAGAAAAGTTCTTCACTAATGTGGTTTTGTTACTAATTAGTCTCTGAATGTTATTTATTATATCACTTAATTGTTGTGAGTTTTTCATAGATCTTCATTTTCTATTTCCTAGGAAGGAAAATTAGAAGAGGTGAACACAATCTTAGCCATTCATGACAACTATAAACACGAATTCTACAATGATGACTCTTGGGTTGAATTTATTGAGCTAGATATTGATGACCCTGATGAAAAGACTGAAGGATCAGACACAGACAGACTTCTAAGCAATGACCATGAAAAATCACTTAATATCCTTGGGGCAAAGGATGACGACTCTGGACGTACCAGCTGTTATGAACCTGACATTCTGGAGACTGATTTCAATGCCAATGACATGTGTGATGGTACCTCAGAGGTTGCTCAGCCACAAAGGTTGAAAGGGGAAGCAGATCGCTTGTGCCTTGACCAGAAGAATCTAAATAACTCACCTTCGAATGATGCTACCCCTGCTAGCCAGCAGCCCAGTGTTATCCTAGGAGAGGAAAACAAACCAAGATCACTTCTTATTGGCAAAACTGAGTCAACTCATCAAGCTGGCCATACACAGCAACAGCTCAGCAATCCAAGTTCATTGGCAAACATCGACTTTTATGCCCAGGTAAGTGACATTACACCAGCAGGGAGTGTGGTCCTTTCCCCGGGCCAAAAGAATAAGGCTGGGATCTCCCAGTGTGACATGCATCCAGAAGTCGTCTCACCCTGCCAAGCAAACTTCATCATGGACAACGCCTACTTCTGTGAGGCAGATGCTAAAAAGTGCATCACCCTGGCCCCTCATGTCGAGGTTGAATCACATGTAGAGCCAAGCTTTAACCAGGAAGACATTTACATCACCACGGAAAGCCTTACCACTACTGCTGGGAGGTCTGGGACAGCAGAACGTGTTCCAAGTTCTGAGTTGCCTGTCCCAGACTATACCTCCATTCATATAGTACAATCTCCACAGGGCCTCGTACTCAATGCAACTGCCCTGCCCTTGCCTGACAAAGAGTTTCTCTCATCATGTGGCTACGTGAGCACAGACCAACTGAACAAAATCATGCCGTAGCTTTTCTTCGATTTCCCATGAGCTACATATTTAATGAGTTACCTATTTACTCTAGCAAAGAGTTGGCTAGGGAATGAATGCTTAAACCAAAACAATGTTTAAACATTTTTTGGAGGGGGGTGGGAGTTGAGGGTGGGGGATACGGATTCTAAATGGCTTTTCCTGAAGTGTTGAAACATGATATTAAAGAAAAAGAAGAAGAACCCTTCATCAGATAGATATTCTTGTTGTGAATTGTAAATATTTTAAAGAATTGTCTCAAAGACTGTTTAGTGGCAGTGATTGTCTTGTTATTGTGGGTGTTAATTTTGTGCTACTAAGCATTGAATGGCTATGTTTTTTAATCTATAGTTAATCATGCTTTTTGAAAAAGCGAAAAATCAGGTGGCTTTTGCAGTTCAGGACGATTGAATGCAAATCATAGCACAGGCTAAGTTTTTTTTAATAATTGGGAACTAAAATTTTAGGTAAGAAGACAAGAAATAGTTTGGATATGTAAAACATTTATTTTGACATAAAATGGATAAAGGTATTTTTAATAATTTACACTTTAAGCATGGCTATTTTCTATTACACTATACACGGTGTACTGTAGCTCATGCCGACCCATCTAAAGAATGTAGTAACTGCAGTCTAAAGCTGGTTTAATGCTTTGGTCAACGCACCTGAAGAAAAACTAGTTTTTTACAAGGCCCTTTTTATACCTCCTAAAACTCTTTAAATGATTCTAAAATGATTGTAGTTAGCTGCATTATTGGAATGTGTTCATCTTATCTGAATTTGTAAACAGATATTTGTTAATTTAGAAAACTTTAAAATGTTTGCACAGATCAACTTATCATGAACCAAAAAAACCCAAAAAAACAAAAAAAAACCCACAACACAAATGAACAAAAAGGCTTTTCTTACCCAAGTTTTGGTTCATGTCAGAGCACTGCATACTAAGAGAATAGAAATCATAGCTGGTTCCTATTGACCCAGAATGCTTAATCACTGCAGTGCACGGGGAAGGAGTTTCTTAGTGCACTCAGATCATGAGAGTCAAGTCTTAGAACCTTGGCCACAGTGTCTCTTAGTTCATATTTACCTAAGGAAGGAATAGGTACAAGAAGCATTTTGTAAGTTGAAGCTGGTCGAAGTGAAGTTAACCAGATCATGGAATAAAAGTTCAAGAAAAAGCTTTTTCTTTCACAGCCTATAGCCAGACACATACTCATTATTCATGGTAGCAAAAAAAGAGAAAAAACAAGATTTTAAATCCCCAAGATAACTAAAAAATTTATTTAAACCCATAGCAGAAACTTTCTTCCTTACCAAATCTTTTATAGGATTTACTTAAATAAAAGAAGTTTCATCATTTTTTACTTCTCCTCTGAGTGGATTGGCCTTAAAGCGGGTAGTCAGAAGAAAAAGAAGCAGCCTGAGTAAATTATAAGTTATTGTTCAATATCTTAATAACCTAAACATCATTCATAGGAGCACTGGGATTGCTCCTCAAAAGGTTTGTCAAAAAAAGAAGACTCATCTGACTCAAGAATGCTTCTCACTTAAGTATTTTTTAAAGGTTAATAAAACTTTAAAGTTAGCTTTAACTTAAATAGTATTTGCCATACCTTTTTAGGAAACAAGCTTAACGGTTGGCGATTTTAAATTCCCTCTTTCTTGCAGGAAGGACAGTGAAAAGCTAGAATTGGGTGTTTAAAGTTCAACATGTTACTTTGTAATAGATGTTTAATAGATTTTCTGCTACCTTGCTGCTACGGTTTTCTCTAAGAGCTACATAATTTAGTTTCATAGACAGTTTCATCAATGTAGAACCTAATTCAACTTAAAACTGTGTGTTTGGGAAAACTATCTTACTATTTTACAATAGGCTGACAACATTTCTATAGCCAAAAATAGCTAAATACCTCAATCGGTCTCCGAATGTCATTTTGGTACTTTGCTGGCCACACAAGCCATTATTCACTAGTATGACTAGTTGTGTCCTGCAGTTTATATTTAACTTTCTTTATGTCTGTGGATTTTTTTCCTTCAAAGTTTAATAAATTTATTTTCTTGGATTTGTGATGGTATGCTTCTATTGTCAAACACCCACAGGAAAAGCACCCTAAATCAGACTGCATACTCAGTTCTTCTCCTTGTAAGGGGAGCATAGCACAGTTCGTTTAAACACAGTAGCAATGTGTGTGAAGATTTTTTTCTGTGCTGAAATATAGAGCAGAGAAGACAGCTCCGACCCTTTTTTTATTTTGAATAAACACAAGCCCAGCTCAAAATTATCCTGCTGGCTTGCCTGGACTCTTAGAGCCATATTTTGGATGCATCAAAGCATGCATGATGTACATGGGGGTGTTTGTGACATGGGGAGAGCTTGAGCATGTTGCCTAGAAAGAGGGGAGGGGTAAACAGTTCTCCCTCTACCATTCACACATTAGAACAAGTCAGTTTGTCAGACTAGCTCCTTGTCATAATGGGAAGCCAATAAGAAGTCAAGTCTGGGAGGGAAGCTGTTTAGGTAGGTTGTGTAGGAGCCTAAGAGCAGTAAAGCCACAAAGCAGAGATTCCCCCATTGGAGGCTCCAGCTCCAAGAAGGGTGCAATCACAATAAAGTCAAATCCCATACCCACCAGGTGGGCAGTTCACAAACTGGAAAATAATTGTATCACAGAGGTTCTCCCACAGGAGTGAAAGTTGTGAGTCTCACATCAGGCTACCCAGGCTGGGGGTCTGGCATTGAGAAAAGGAGCCCCAAGAGCACCTGGCTTTGAAGGCCAGCAGCGTTTGACTGCAAGACTTCCACAGAACTGGGGGAGGCAGAAATTCCACTCTTGGAGGGCACACACAAGGTCTCATGAGCACCAGGACACGGGAAAAAGAGTGACCTCATAAGACCCTAGGCCAGACCTACCTGCTGGTATTGGAGGGTCTCCTGTGGAGGGGGTTGGGGGTGTGTGAGGGGGTGGCTGTGACTCACTGTGTGGACAGAGACACTGGTGGCGGTAGTTCTGGGTAGTACTCATTGGCGTAAGCCCTCCTGGAGGCCACCATTTTCTCACCAAGACCTGGCCTCACCCAACCGCCAATAGGTTCTAGTGCTGGGATGCCTCAGACCAAACAACCAACAGGGTGGGAACACAGCCCCACCCATCAGCAAACAGGCTGCCTAAAGTCTTCCTAAGCCCACAGCTGGCCACTAAACACACCCATTAACACAGCCCTGCCCACAGGAGGGACAAGACCCAGCTCTGCCCACCAGTGGGCTGGAACCAGTCCCTCTCACCAAGAAACCAGCACAAGCCCCTTAGACCAGCCTCATCCACAAGGGGGCAGACAGCAGAAGCAAGAAGAACTACAACCCTGCAACCTGTGGAATGGAAACCACAATCACAGAAAGACAAAATGAGACAGCAGAGGACTATATCCCAGAGAAAGGGACAAGTTAAAATCCCAGAAGAACAACTCAGTGGAGACAGGCAATCTACCCAAAAAAGAATTCAGAGTAATGATAGTAAGGATGATCTAAGATCTCAGAAAAAGATAGAGGCACAGACCAGGAAGATACAAGAAATATTTAATAAAGACATAAAAGAACTAAAGAACAAACATAGATGAACAATACAACAACTGAAATGAAAAATACACTAAAAGGAATCAATAGCAGAATAAATAAAGCAGAAGAATGTATAAGTGAACTGGAAGACAAAATGGTAGAAATCACTGCTGTGGAACAGAATAAAGAATGAAAAGAAATGAGGACAATCTAAGAGACCTCTGAGACAACATTAAATGCACCAACATTCACATTATAGGAGTCTCAGAAGGAGAAGATAGAAAGGACCTGAGTAAATATTTGAATAGACAATAGCTGAAAAATACCCTAACATGGGAAAGGAAAGTGTAACCCAAGTCCAGGAAGCCCATAGAGTCCCAGGCAGGATAAACCCAAGGAGGAACATACTGGGACACAGAGTAATCAAACTGACAAAAATTAAAGACAAAGTGAAAATACTAAAAGAAACAAGGGAAAAGAAACAAATAACATACAAGGGAACTTCCATAAGGTTATCAGCTGATTTTTCAGCAGAAATATTACAGGCCAGAAAGGAGTGGCACCATATATTTAAACTGATGAAAGGGAAGAACCTACAACCAAGAATACACTAGCCAGCAAGGCTCTTGTTCAGATTTGATGGAGAAATTAAGAGCTTTACAAAAATGAGAAGCTAAGAGAATTCAGCACCACCAGACCAGTCTAGCTTTGCAACAAACGCTAAAGGAATTTCTCTAGGTGAAAAAGAAAAAGAAAAGGCCACAACTAAAAACAAGAATATTACAAAAGGAAAAGGCAAATATAAAGGTAGGAAATTATCCACACAAAATATGATATCAAAACCAGCAATCATGAGAAGAGGAGAGTACAAATGCAGGACATTGGAAATGCATTTCAAATTAAAAGACTGGCAACATAAAACAATCTTCTTTATATAGAGACTGCTATATCAAAACCTCATGGTAACCACAAACCAAAAATCTACAATAGATACACAAACAAAAAAAGAATAAGGAATAAAAACACAACAGTAAATTTAGCCATCAAATCACAAAAGAGAAGAGGAAAGGAAGGGAAAAGACCGACAAATACAAAATAATTAACAAAATGGCAATAAGAACGTACATATCAATAATTATGTTAAATGTAAATGGATTAAATGCTCCAACCAAAAGTCACAGACTAGCTGAATGGATACAAAAACAAGACCCATATATATGCTGTCTACAAGAGACACACTTCAGATCTAAGAACACATACAGACAATGAGAGGGGATGGAAAAAGGTATTCATTGCAAATGGAAATCAAAAGAAAGCTGGTGTAGCTATACTCATCTCAGACAAAATAGACTTTAAAAACTCTTGCAAGAGACAAAGGACACTACATAATGATCAAGAGATCAATCCAACAAGAAGATATAAAAATTGTAAGTATATATGCACCCAACAGAGCAGCACCTCAATATATAAGGCAAATACTAACAACCATAAAAGGAGAAATCAACAGTAACACAATACTAGTGGGGGACTTTGAAACCCCACTTTCATCAATAGATCATCCAGACAGAAAATCAATAGGGAAACACAGGCCTTAAAGGACACATTAGACCAGATGGACTTAATCAATATTTATAGAGCATTCCCTCTAAAAGGAGCAGAATACACATTCTTTTCAAGTACACATGGAACATTCTCCAGGATTGATAACATTCTAGGACACAAAACAAGCTTTGTAAATTTAAATAAATTGAAATCATATCAACCATCTTTCTGACAACAACACTATGAGATTAGAAATGAACTACAAGAAAAAAATGAAAAAAAAACACAAACATGTGGAGGTTAAACAATATGCTACTAAACAACCAATGGCTCACTAAAGAAATCAAAGAGGAAATCAAAAAATACCTAGAGACAAATGAAAATGAAAACACAATTATTTAAAACCTATGGGACACAGAAAAAGCAGTTCTAAGAGAATTTACAGCAATAAAATCTTACCTCAGGAAGCAAGAAAAATCCCAAATAAACAATCTAATTTAACACCTAAAGGAACTAGAGAAAGAAAAACAAACAAAACCCAAAGTTAGTAGAAGGAAAGAAATCATAAAGACCACAGAAGAAATACATGAAAAACAGACAAAGAATACAATAGCAAAGATCAATAAAACTAAAATCTGGTTCTTTGAGAAGATAAACAAAATTGATAAACCATTAGCTAGACTCAGAAGGAGAGGACTCAAATCAATAAAATTAGAAATGAAAAAGGAGAAGTTACAACAGACACTGCAGTAATACAAAGCATCATAAGAGAATACTACAAGCAACTCTGTGCCAATAAACTGGACAACCTGGAAGAAACTGACAAACTCTTAGAAAGGTGTAACCTTCCAAGACTGAACCAGGAAGAAATAGAAAATATGAACAGACCAATTGCAAGTAATGAAATTGAAACTGTGATTAAAAATCTTCCAACAAACAAAAGTCTAGGACCAGATGGCTTCACACGTGAATTCTATCAAACATGTAGAGAAGAGCTAAAAGCCATCCTCCTCAAACTCCTCCAAAAAATTTCAGAGGGAGGAACACACCCAAACTCATTCTACAAGGCCACCATCACCCTGATACCAAAGCCAGACAAAGATGTCACAAAAAATAGAATTACAGACCAATATCACTGATGAATATAGATTCAAAAATCCTCAACAAAATACGAGCAAACAGAATCCAACAACACATAAAAAGGATCATACAATATGATCAAGTGGGATTTATCCCAAGATGCAAGGATTCTTCAATATATGCAAATCAATCAATGTGACACTCCATATTAACAAATTGAATAAAAACCATATGATAATCTCAATAGATGCAGGAAAAGCTTTTGACAAAATTCAACACCTATTTATGATAAAAACTCTCCAGAAATGGGCACAGTGGGAACCTACCTCAACATAATAAAGGCCATATATGACAAACACATAGCAAACATCATTCTCAATAATGAAAACCTGAAAGCATTTCTGCTAAGATCAGGAACAAGACAAGGATGTCCATGCTCACCACTATTATTCAAAATAGTCTTGGAAGTCATAGACACAGCAGTCAGAGAAGAAATAAAAGGAATACAAATTGGAAAAGAAGAAGTAAAGCTATCACTGTTTGCAGATGACACGATACTATACATAGAAAATCCTAAAGATGCCACCAGAAAACTACTAGACCTAATCAATCAATTTGGTAAAGTTGCAGGATACAAAATTAATGCACAGAAATCTCTTGCATTCCTATACACTAATGATGAAAAATCTGAAAGAGAAATTAAGGAAACACTCCCATTTACCATTGCAACAAAAAGAATAAAATACCTAGGGTTAAACTACCTAAGGAGGCAAAAGACCTGTATGCAGAAAACTATAAGATGCTGATGAAAGAAACTGAAGATGATACAAACAGATGGAAAGATATACCATGTTCTTGGATTGGAAGAATCAATACTGTGAAAATGAC